ATGTGGGAACTTGTAGGTAGGTGATGAGAAAGGGAGGGGGGGGGTCGTACCTACACCACCGTTTCACACATCACGATGCTGTACCCTGTCTAACTGTAAGCATCTCACAACAGCCGACCATGAGGAGCGGCAACTGCGTGTATACTGACACTCAACCAGATAATTCCGTTTTCCCTGGGCTAGCAGCGGCCTAGTCTCCGTTTCCAATTGGTGACTGATCAAAACCAAAATGGATTACTTACTTCTTGAGCACTTGTGCGACATCTTCTCCAAGAGTCGGTTGAGACTCGATCCTATTCACTCGGAACAATAATAACGTGTTCAGGAAAAGTAAACCAGCAAGTAAGCCTAAATTGTATGAAATTCTAGAGAAGCTTTGCTCAACTCTGCAAATAAAACAGCATTTATTGATGATTCCGCCCCATGATTCCATCATGATGATAATTCATTTCTTTTGCGAAGGAGCACAATCTACCATGGAGCCATGGAATCATTTATGGCCGAACACAACGAAACCCGCCCGACAGCCCCGCCCACTTGGAAGTTTTTCATAAAATTCTTATTTTACTTCTTTTCAAATTATCCAAGTGTAGACACCCCGACAACCTTCGCTCAACTTTTCAAGATATATTCTGCACTATTCAATACTTTCTTAATTTTCTAGAAAATTCTCCACTTATAGGCGACCCGCCCCGTACAACCCCGCCCCCTGTCAGAATATTTACGGCCTTCAAACTCCGCCCATTTTTTACCTTTCTGTAGTTATATCCAAATTCCCGGGAAACCGCACTCTAACAGTGATTTTATTTCATAATTTCAATTTCGATGGTGTCATGGCGCCTACTTACTTAGTGGGTGGTGGGGGAAACCTAGCCGAGCCTCTGCGTCTTTCATACAAAAATGTTTCGGCTTACCATTAAATCGCAGAGGACCGATCGCCGAAATATAGTTTCGCAGAGAATATGTGGCCTTCAGTCATGGTCAGCCTGAGCTTTAAAGACAGCCCCCGCGCTCAAGTAGTACATGGTCGTCCTTCCTTGTGCAAGTAGTCCAGCCCCCAAGCTAGAGACTGTCCCACTCTCGCGACTCCACAGTGAGCGAGGAGCGAGCTACAGCCGCTGAAAGTTCTAGTTCCGCCCGCCCAGTTGGACCGCCCACTTGCTAGATGCCCTCTGACGGAGGGCCGCTCAGTTGTTCTTTGTTGGGGCGGCGGGCATTAATCGGAATTGCATGTCCTTTTTGCTGACCGCGCTTGTGCCCATGAATGATTCTGCTCTCCTTTATTACATTTTATTCATTAGGAGCACATACAGTCAACTTCAACCCATCTC